TGGATGGATGGATGGATGGATGGATGGATGGATGGATGGATGGATGGATGGATGGATGGATGGATGGATGGATGGATGAAGCATCAGACTTCAGGCAGCAGGACCGAGGCTAGTCCAGACACAAGCAAGGATGAGGAAAACCTTTAACTACAAAGCAAAGAGTCGCTTTAATTGTTGGTCGTGAATTTTAAATAATTAGAGCCAGATAAGAGAGGCAGCAGCTCAGGAGGAAGAACAATCATCTTCATTGATTTTCTTGTAAACAGTTCAAAATCACTGTCTGCAGACATGAAATGTGTTGGAGCTCCTGGAGCTCCTGGATCACAGAGAATCTGTTGTGTTACACTGCTGTGATGTCGTTAAAAAAGCTCAGAAATAATGGTTAAAGTCCTGAGCCAGGCATCTGAGGTCAAATTAAAAAAGAAAAACTGGAGCAGACGGACTCTACAAGAAAGAATTTTGTAACCCAGAAATTCAACTTTCAGGAGAAATCACAGGTGCTCATCTGAGGAACAGCAGGAATACTGATGAAGAAAAAGACAAATGTTCAATAAGTGGCTTTCAGCAGGTTAAACAGATATTTACTGTAAAAGTTTTAGTTCTCTCCTCAGTCTGACATTTATCTGTCTGATCACTTCTGACACCTTCTAGCTAATGTTTCACTTCTTTTAGCGATCCTATTGCTGATTTTAAGTAAACTTTTGCAACATTTAGCTAAACATTTGCTACTTTAAGCTAGCCTTTTGTTTCTTTTAGCTAGCCTTTTGTTTCTTTTAGCTAGCCTTTTGTTTCTTTTAGCCCTCCTTTTGTTTCTTTTAGCTAGCCTTTTGCAACTTTAAACTAGGCTTTTGCTACTTTAAGCTTTCATTCTGCTTTCTTTAGTTTAAATAACTCGGTCTCAGCTTTCTCAGACAGTTTCAGTGAAGTCATTCACCGATCACGCTGTAATTTATCAGAAAATGTAACRGCTTTAAATTTTCTTTTCTTTCTTTTTTGTTTCTTTGATGTTGGATGTTTTCTGATTCATATCAAAAGTTATTTGTTTGCTGTCTGGAGGAACTCCAGATGCAAATTTGCCTCAGGATAAATTGGGGGCCATGCATCAAATGTTTTTTTCATGTAATTGTAAAAATCTGCAGTTCTGTTTTAGTTTAAAAATAATCTGAAGACAAAATCTACTCAACGTTGCAATCACACCGTTTTATTAGATAATCAATAATAAAACATGTTTTAATATGTGTTGAAGGGTGGGTTATTAATTGTTGAACATTGTTCTTTTTTATTTTTAATTTCATTAGTGTTTAATGTTTTCTTTTTTACTGTCTACAATAACCACAGATGTAAACTAGACATGGGTTTTTAASGATGTAAAAACAAGTGCGCATTGCCATGTATCATGGATTTGCCTGCAGCATTGGACTTGCTGAATGAACTTTGACCAAGTTCAAATGTGTTTTCTTTACCAGCTTGTGCSTGTCATATTAGCAGGTGTTTAGAATTAAGGTAATTGTCTGACAATATGAAGTTTGAAGAGATTTTTTCTTAAAGTTGCATTAGCCAGGTTTCAAACCCTGACCTCCCACATGAAAGTCCATGACATAGACCATTAGACCAATGGAGTTGTGGCAGAAGATGGTGGCAGGGATTGGTTTGTATGTGTGCAGAAAAAGGCCACATTGTCAATACAATTATTGACACTAAACTGCATAATTTTACAACAATAGAGCAGTATTAAGACAATGATATAGTAAAACATCAAAATACAATCATATTAGTATTGTAAACACTGAACTATTGAGATTAAATATTAAAAAAACTATGGTGCAGTACCAAGTTGAGTACAGCTGGGGGCAGTATTTGACCATTACAAGGCCACATTGACTCCAATTATATAAATTTGGAATACAGTTTAAACATTAATATTTCAAAAACCACAAACTGTACAGGCACCAGAAGGCATAGCAGTCATTTGGCACAGGACCTTTACAGATAGAAATTACAATGGCAGCTGTAGTACAATGTAGGCAGGAGCATTGGACTTTCAGAATGAACTTTGACCGAGTTCAAATGTGTTTTCTGTACCAGCTTGTGCCTGTCACATCAGCAGGTGTTTGTAATTAAAGTAATTGTGTGACAATATGAAGTTTGAAGAGATTTTTGTTAAAGTTGCAGTAGCTGGATTTGAACCCTGATCTCCAGCATGAAAGCCCACGGTGCTCACCATGAGACTATAGGAGATGTAGCAGAACACAATCCCAGGTAGGGTTGGGCAATATTGGCAAAAAAATTAATCACGATTAATTGTGGTATTTGGCC